CCAATATGACCAAGTCGCGCATGCCATTTAACAGATTCAGAATCAACATTATAAAATGAAGCAAAAGCATGTGATGAGTCATTATAACTTTCATCCAAGTCAAGAACAAAGAAACCATTCTTTAAAATACCATGTCCGAATAAATTGTCATGATACAAAATGTCCAAACCGCTAGTATTGAAGTTAAAGGAAAAACCAAGTTTTAACAAGGAAACAACTGAAAGTAAACAACTTCGCACCCCGGGTGCATAGAGAGTATCATGCAGGAGTAGTGTATTTCCACCATGGAGTTTAAGTTGGTATGTTCCAACCCCAAGGACATCTTCCTCGCTCACATTTCCTAACACGACAGTTTGAGTGCCAATAGGAAACCGGTGAAACTCCACAAATCCAGATCTTTCATGAACTATGTGTTTGCTTGCTCCCGTATCTATAATCCAATTAAGAATAGAATTAGCAACTAATGCATGAGAACAAACAAATAGTTCAAAAGAGTTAGTGGTAGAAGGTACCTTTTTCGGCTCAGCACAATCATGAGCGAAATGACCTTTCTGTCCACAATTATAGCACTTCACACGCGCTATTTTCTTCTCCCTTTGGCCATGTGCCATAAGTTGTTTCTTTGAACCACCATTTGATCCAAAAGTTTGAGAAGGACGGGAAAATTTCTTGGCTTGTTTGCGCTTATTTCCCTTGGTTTGACCACCATGTGCAACAAATGCAACATTGGAAGGTGCTAACGTTCTCTGACGTTCTACTTCCATTTCAATATGTTTAGCGAGTTCTGAAAAAGTTTTTACATTCTCGCTATGAGCCATGAGGAGCTTGAAGTTCTTCCAATTCTCAGAATCATTTGGAAGTGAACGAACCACATTTAGAACTTGCTCCTCGTCAGATACATCTCGTCCCGCAGCTTTCAGGTCACGTATCATGGCACTCATGACACGCAAATGTTCGGCAACAGAGTGTTTAGGATCCATATTGTAATCCATCCACTTTAAGTTCAAGGCACGCAGCCTAGTAGCCGAAGTTTGCCCAAAGGTGACCTTAAGCTTGTCCCACATGTCTTTAGCCGTGGGACAATTCTCAAACTCTCCAATAAGATCATTATGCATGCAATACAACATAGTATAACGTGCAGAACGATTCTTTTTGGACCACGTCTGATAGTTTGTTAATTCTTCCTTGTACTGCGCACTAGCAGTATCCTTTGGCTCAATCACAGTAGTGGACAAGGTTTCCAAAACCTCGCGTTCATTAAGAAGATACTGAATCTTCCTATGCCAGATGTCGTAATTGGTACCATCTAGCTTTTCGTTGGAGGACAAATCTCCAATCATGGATTTAATTGTCATCTACAAGTATTAGGCATGAGGTCAATATAATTAAATTATCAATTTTATTTTTGTTTATGCCATGAGTTCGAAAATTTCGCCAAGCTCATAATCATCACAAATAACACAAACAAGAATAAATATAATTTAATTAACCTTATTTTAGTGAAACATATTCATTTATTCATGTTATTGTTTAACAAATAAACACAAATATAAATATCACAAAGATATCTACTAAGTCTCGTAACATGAATAACATATATTCATGTATTGTATTAAATAAATATAAACATCACAAAGATATTTACGTCTAGTAACATGAATAACATATATTCATGTATCATGTTAAATAATTATTTAAATATCACTTAGATAATTTAAATAATAATAAGAAGTCACACAATTTTACTAAAATATTGATTTATTCTTTTCATCATAATAACAAATATTATGATAATTTCAAAATAATCTTTATGTAATGGTAAACATGAATACCATATTAATATTTGTAAACCATAATAATAAGAAATATTATTATTAAACAAAGAATAATAATAATGATTTTTATTCTTTGTTTATATAATAATTAGGCCACAAAACCTAATTATTCCTCCATATAATTTTTTTTTATTATCTCTTTATGTCATTTTCATGATCACAAATTCATGATGACACACATTCTGTACTTAACACTTAGTTAATCAATAGAATGAATTTCATGTAACAAATACATAAATATATTTGTTTATTAAAAAATACGCCGGAGGAATAAACGGGCTCTGATACCACTGTTAGTGGTTTTATATAACACATATATAAATATATATAGGACTGACCTTTATGTAGCGGAAGCGATTACTTGCCCGTATATCTTTTATCCGACGGCTACTAGAGTCGTCGGTATCCTCCACGTTCTAAAACCCGAGCCGCCTTGATGGTTTCGGCTCAACAAGAGAAAAGCACTATCTAAAGATTATGTATTTTCTATAACTTGTTTTCTTGTCTCGTATTGTTCACTTTTCAAGATGCACACAAGCACCTTATTTATAGTTGTCTTAATACAACTATTAACTTAATGAAGACATGACTTCACACTTAATGAAGACATGAATTCACTTCATAACTCACTTCATAACTCCATACATAATGGAGATGAAGTTGTAACACCACCACATTTAAGTGGATGTTACCAATTGATGCAACATATCACCAATTAAAAACAATCCATTGTTTGAAAATTTTAAAGACTTTAAACCTTTTAATTTATTTTGTTTAGAGATACGAGTTTATTGGAGATTCATTACATATTTGATGGGACTTTAGGAATCTTGATGTGTTTTGAATTTTTAATATTTTTTGAAAGTTTTTATTTTTGGCAACAAGTTCAAAAATAATATATTGAAAATATGTTCTTGCAAGCACAGATTTAGAAAATGGAAGTTCTTTTATTTATATTTATGTTATATATTTCGAATATTTATAGATATATCTATTATATTTACATGATCTTATTTGGGTTATATTTGTAGGATACCGTCGCATATGGAAGTTAAAAAGGGACGTGTTGAAAGGAGATCAAAAAAGATATTTTACTTTTCATGTTTCTACATTATTTTGGGAAAGAAGATCAAGAGGATCGTGCATGAAGAAAACTTGGAGAAGACTCCACGCCTAAAAAGTTGTATATATGCCCTGCTTGAAAATCGAATAAAGGATGTTGAAATCATTATCTTCCATTCAATATTCGAGCTTAAAAAATTTCCAGTTTTATTTTCATTGTTAAGTTTTCGGTGTTCTTGCGTCATAAAAATAACTGAAGACTTTTGTTTGGTTTATTTTGTTTTCCATTCAAACACTTTTGAGATCAGTACTTAGGGATTAAGTATAGGTTTAGCTCGAGGGATTCGAGAGATAGAAGTCCACGGGACGTGACTAGAGAAGTAGTTGGTAGATTCGAGTATAGTTGTTGGTTAGGCTATAAGGGAGTTCTAGTGGCTGTAATTCCAAAACTATACAAGTGTGCACAATCGAGTTATCAATTAAAGAACTTTGAGAGGTAGTGGGACGCTCCTCAAAGAGTTTATATTTTATTGTGCTTCCGGTATTTTCAACTTTTTTGGTGTTGCAACATAGTTTTATTATAATCCGTGTTCTAACACAAGTTGAACGCCTTAAACTCTAAACGTGTACATTTCATTTTTAAAAGTCTTAAAGTATTCATTTGATATTTCAAACAAATTTAATGTATTAAATTATTTAACATTGAGATTTACTAAGATTTTTCAAGATTTGTTGATATTTCATAAACAAAAACATTATCAAAATCCCACTTGCGGAGATTTCCACGTATTCTACTAAATCTCAAAGCCTCAAAATGTATTATTTATTCCACACAAATCATAATACCACAGTAAATAACCAGAGATAGAGAAGCGGGAACAAATCACTTTTCATTATAGGTTTTACAAAATAGACCTAAATCTAACCTAACCTAATTTCTAATGGTCTTCACGCTCAATTTGTTTATTAGTAATGCCCATATCTTTTTATCAGTTTTTCTAAGGAACCATATGGTTGTTTTCATTATGGAACTAACCACCAATGGACAACTCCACATGGGGCTGTCCCACATGACTTTCGTGTGGGACAACCCCATGTGGAGCTGTCCCATTGGTGGTTGGTTCCATAAGAAAACCAACCATATGGTTCCTTAGCAAAATTGATCCTCTTATATATAATTATCGAATGTGTTTAGCTTAATTGATAAACCCGCACACTTTGTGTTTGTGATTCTGTGTGGCAAATTTTTAAGTTTTGTCATTTGACTTTAGATGAATTTTAATTTATTTTTAATCCAAAAGAAGCTAGGTTGAGAATATCCATAAATATACTGGATATTTATGGTTATTTTTAACAACATTAATTATGTTTTAATAACATTTATATTGTAGACCTGATTATTATAAGGTATAATTATTTCCCAATATTTATTGTTTTCTTCATATTTATTTTTTAGATAATAAAAAATCTACTCATTTAAATAAATTATGAAGATATGTAAAAGTTCATGATTTTTTTATTAATTAACAATTTTTATATATAATATATTAAATTAATCGTGTCTTGATGAATTTCGATTTCACATCTACTTTATACATAGAAAATAAATAAATAATTTTGTATCTTTATAATTAAAATTAAATTATATATTAATAGTAGTTCAAAAAAAAAATATTTAAACTAACTTAACTACAAAATAATTATCTGATATGAAATAAAAATATATAATACAAGATGATTAGTCACGTTAGTGACGTTGTCATTTTTAATATAAATAATAATATATTTTAAAAAAATATTTAAAAACTAAAACAATGTTTATTGTTATTATTATTTAATTTTAAATATATTTTTTTTAGTACTCCGTGTAGTATACAAGTATTATACTAGTAAGAATATATTTATAACCATTATTATCGATTAAAAATACATTTTAGCCCTACACCCACTCAAAATAAATATCATTAGTAACAATATTGCAATTTTTCACCCACAAAACAAAATAAATATCATTTCCCGTTGGCTTATCTAAACCCAAGAACACACCCCACACCCACTCAAAACCCTCGTCCATTTACCGTCTCTCTCTACCCTAACCTAGCAATGGCCGCCACCATCTCCCGATCGATCCTAACCTTCCGATCACCCGGAGCCGCCATCTCCCTCCTCCAGAAACGTCTCTTCTCCTCCACCGTAACCAACCCACCTCCTCTCCCTGGGTTCCGCCACCCGATTTCCGCAATACGATATGCCACGCCCGCGTTATCCCACTCCCTCCGAGCCATTTCTCCTGTCAGAGTCAACCCGGTGCGGTGCCGGGTCGGCGGCCGATCTGGTCCGTATTCGCCGCTGAATCCCGGTTCCAACTTTAACGACCGGCCGCCCACCGAGATGGCGCCGCTTTTCCCCGGATGTGATTACGAGCACTGGCTTATAGTGATGGACAAGCCTGGAGGTGAAGGGGCCACGAAGCAGCAGATGATAGATTGCTACATCCAAACCCTAGCCAAAGTTGTGGGAAGGTAAAAGATTGTTTTTTTTTTTATTTTATTTTTTGCGCATCTTTCTTGTTGGCTATGTTAATGGAGAAATAGTGCTGACATTTCATGTGATACTGTAAATTGCTCACTTACATACTCATTATCAAATATTCTTATGTTGTATGCTTGTGATTTTGTTGCTCTGGTCGTTGATAGTGAGGAGGAAGCCAAGAAGAAGATATACAATGTCTCCTGTGATAGGTATTTTGGGTTCGGGTGCGAACTCGACGAGGACACATCGAACAAGCTCGAAGGTTAGAGTTTAGCGCTGTTTTTCCTAACAAGAACAATTAGTTTCTATTGTAAATTAATGGTTTCTTGTTTTCCGACGTATGCAGGTTTGCCAGGTGTTCTGTTTGTTCTTCCAGATTCCTATGTTGATGCCGAATACAAAGACTATGGAGGTCGGTTTTCGTATTAGTAAATTATAATCGATGAGAACACACAAACATTTAGTTGGTACTATTCAGTCTTGATCTGAAGTTTTGTTCAACTGAAAGCATGTAGGCGATGTGTAATTTATAGAGCCTGTAAAGATTTTCAGTTATAGACATGTTAATTTCGCTATTGTTACATTTTTCATGTTTTCTTTATCTTTTTTTTTTTGCAGCCGAGTTGTTTGTGAATGGAGAGATTGTTCAACGGAGTCCAGAGAGACAAAGGAGGGTTGAGCCGGTGCCTCAGAGAGCTCAAGACAGGCCAAGGTACAATGACCGTACCCGATATGTCAGGCGTCGTGACAACATGCGTTGAGGACCATATTGGTTGAACAGTAAAAATAATTTTCTCGAGTGGGTTTGTCTGAATGGGCGTATGATATTTCTTTGGATGAAGCAACTGTGTGACTGAAAATCTTTCATGTGTAGATTTCGTGATGTTTAGACCCTTTTCTGGATTATGCTGTGTCCAATAAAACTGTGTCTTAATCGTTATTTGAGCTTGTTTAGTTGTATGGCTTTGAGCTTTTGAGTGGATGGTTCATCTTGGAAGTGTAGTATTTTGGTGTAATGAATTGGTCAGAAATTGAAACCTTCTGAGAGGGATGGATTTATGCACACTGCTGCTACTTTCTAGTTTTTCCTTTTGGGTGTTGTTAGTTATTACATGAATATGAATTTATGCTCACTTGTTCTGTCTTTTATCTAGGTTGTTACGGGAGGAAGGTAACTGTTTTGCTTTTTGTCTTTGTCATCATCATATTATATTACACGAAGAAAATGGTTATAGGAGGTGCAGTACTATTTTACCGAGTTTGTTTCACTAGGACATTCATTGACATACACCTGATTGGGCAAAATTTACGGAAGAAAATGGTCGTAGGAAGTGCTGCATAAATTTTCTCTGCTCCACATTTTCTAAACACAAACGATAAACAACAAGGGGTGTCGTCCATTTTCGTCACAATTTCAAGATATTTGAGTGCCTTCGATTGATTTTCAACCCACGCACAGCGTCACAATTAGCCGATAGTGAGATGCCTAACATGCCAATGTGCAATGCCCGTCAACCCATCACACGTCCTTTGTGAACTTTACGATTGTTCTGTGTGAAAAATTAATCCCTTTCTGGAAAATACTGCAAATTCCAAGCACATTTATTGGAAGCAAATAATAAAGCCGGTATACCACACATTACTGTGACAGCAAATTTTGAGTTATATATAGGAACATTGCCAGGCATGACGCAAGCCAGACGAGAAATATGAGCTTCAGAAAATACATCTAGATTTCTACTTAAAGGTATCGGCATATAGATATGATACCTTTATTCTTCACTAGCGCTCGCTCGTAATGAGTTTGCTTCTCGAACGATTGCTTCAGATAGCAGATGTTGATGTACGATTTTTAACGAAGTGTTTAAACGATGATTATGATGTATTTCAGATATGAGATACTAAAGTGTCTGCAAAATCCATATACATGGAAAAAATGAGGTTTACCTTTAATATAGTAGAAGGAAGGGTATTCTGTCTGTGTTTAGATCTTAAAGAGAAGAAAGAAACAATATTATATAACAACTAAAACATGCCACAATGTACTTGATCATAAGTTATTTCTCAAATCAACTGTACAATCACAAATATAGCAATCTGCAAATATTACTCAGCAAGCAAATATTTTATTCCTATGAGTATATCGAAGACCGAAATCTGTCACGCAACGGGACCGTTTAGCTGCTGTTGCTGTCGGAAAATGCCACGAAGACCGACCTTTTAGCTGCCTGAGCACGATGGGGGACTATACGCCGATCAGGAGCATCGAGCCACCCTGGACATGAAGTTTCACGTCGCTTATTTTTCCTTTTTTGACGGGTTTTTTCGATGCATTTTGGCTAGGACTTGACCCAAAAGGAATATTGAAACAAGTTTCAGGGGGAGTTTTCTAGAGTTTATTTACAGTATTATTTTGATTTAACAACCCGCTTACTTACTACTAAAATTATGAAAATCAGAGTAATTTTCTTTCTTTTTTTTTTCGAAAACTCTTACTTTATTTTTCGAAAACACTTTATCTTTCTCGGGGGATGCTACTATACTCACCTCCTTATCTCTTTCTTTACTTAGCTTATGTTTGGTTCAGGGGAAACGGAGGAGAGGGGAAGGGAGGGGAGGGAAATTTTTGTTTTCCTCTTGTTTGGTTCAAGTTTTTGTAAGGGGGAGGGGTTTGAATTTTCCCTTCAATTCCCTCCTCCAAGGGAAAATGTGCTCCCCTTTAAAAGTGAGGGAATTTGGAGGGGAGGGAAAATTTTAACAACAAATTACTCTTTTGACCTTAATGTGATTTTTTTTTTTGTTCCTTACATCATTAAGGATATATTTGTCATTCTAACATTATTTTCCTTCCCCTTCCATCTTCTAACCAAACAAGGTTAATCATTTTCTTTCACCTTCCCTCCTA